TCGCCCTCCAGCTCACCAACAGAAGGAGACCCCATCTCAAAAAAAAAAAAAAGAAAAAAAATTGTCAATAGCTACTGTATTGGACAGTGCATATACACAACATTTCTATTACTGCAGAAAGTACTTTTGGATTGTGTTGGTCTAAAAGTCGTATGAAAATTAGGCACGCAAAGTAGGGCAAGGCAATTTCAAACAGAAAGATCTTGTGTGAAGTATGCATAAGAATGACTTGGGGGGCATGTTGATTCCTACTGCCAGATATTCTCATTTAAGGGGTACCAGGAGAGCCTGTTTTTTAAAAAAATACCCCAGGTGATTCTGATGCGTAAGGTGTGTGGACTACACAGAAAAAGCATGTAGGGTAAGTGGCAATCGCCTACTAGAATGATTCTGAACCTCCCACTTAAATGGCATCTGGTGCTTGAGCCAATCTAATTTTGACTTAGCCAGATAAGAGTGCTGTGAGTACATATGTACCTCAAGTGTTGTGGAGCATTTTGTACTCTTTTAGGTGTCTAAAGATTATAAGTGTCTTTGTCATGTACATTTTGAATACTTAAAAAGGATATGTTTCAGTCAGGAAAGGCTAGGTTATGCAACAGTAAAACCCCCAAAAACATCAATGTATTTTTCCAAAAGGGAAAAAGAGAACCCTAGAGAATCTCACACTAACAATAGCCAAGAAAAGACAGACATCACTTCTCACAATTCATGTCAGAACTCAACACAGAACCAACCCTAACGAAGCCAGAACGTGCAGTCCTACCATGTGTTCAAAAGAGAAACAGAACCAAATAAGGGTGAGCAGCACCCATGATTACCACAGTGATGGTAAAGGAAATAATGGTGATCGTGCTGCAAGACAGATAAGACTTCCAGACACATATAGTGGTGGTGAATGGCAGAGATGTGTAGGACTAGGATGAGTTTTAGAGAAATTCTTGGCTGAGAGAAAGAAGCCAAGATGAAATGATGAAGAACTGAAGGTTGAGTTAGAGTGTTTTCTAGACAAACACCCTTGACTACCTCTCTCTTTAAAAGAAAAACTTGATCCTGAAAGGGATCTTAATCCAAAGTTTTGGGTTTTGTTTTGTTGTTTTGTTTTGTTTTTTGAGACAGGGTCTCGCTGTGTCACCCAGGTCAGAGTGCAGTAGTGCAATCACAGCACACTGCAACCTCAACCCTCTGGGCTCAAGCAATCCTCCTGCGTCAGCCTCCCGAGTAGCTGGGACTGCAGGCATGCACCACTGTGCCCAGCTAATTTCTTTTAAATTATTATTTGTAGAGATGAAGTCTCATTCTGTTGCCCAGGCTCGTCTGGAACTCCTGGGCTCCTGCCTCTGCCTCCCAAAGTGCTGAGATGATAGGCGTGAGCCATCATGCCCAGTCTGAAGCTCTGGGTTCTTGAAAGGGTGATGTAAAATATTATGATATAGGCAGAGGGGCACATCTGTAAGCTGACAGTACTATGTCAGAGAAGTATCAAAGAGCCAGCAGTGTCAGAAGAGTCCTACTTCTGTCTAATCTGGGGAGAAGAATGTTCAGTCCAATGCTACCTGAAGGGCCCCAGGCAGTAGACCCTGGTGTAGAGGGAGAAAAGTAGCTCTAGGAGAAGCCATTTAATTCCACTGATAGCAGGAGTCAGCTATTCTGGGTTTTGATGTTTTTATCTGTTTGCTTGTTTCTTTTGGTCTTGATTTACTTTCTTCAAGCTATTGAATGCCCCTATGTATGACTATGATTTTTCTAATGTCTGCACACATCAGTGTGTGTATCTAAACTGTATAACTCATAAATATTCAGTGACTCACCTTGTAAAAGATTTCACTCTCTTGCTGTAATGAAGCAAAATCATGTGAACACTAATTTTGGTCAGTGAAATGTAAATGAAACTAATGTGTACTAGTTCTAGCTGAAGCTTCTGTGCTCTCTGTTCCTCTACCAAGATGCCCAACAGTGTTCCAGAAAAAAAACTGTGCCATTGATTGTAGCTGAGACCCTCAGTGGCTTGTGTAGCGTGAGGAGAAATAAATCTTTGTTGTTATAAGCCACTGATTTGGGGGATCATTGTTACTGTAGCATAACCTAGCCCATACTAACCAATATTATGTGGATTCTGTCACCATCTGTGCAGATTACACCATTGAGATCCATCAGGCAATCGTGAATTAGAATGAAAAATAAAGGAGAAATGTATGTTCCAAAAGACTGTTTTATAATGATAAAAAGCTAAATGAAGAAGATATAATTGAGCCAGGCACAGTGGCTCACGCCTGTAATCCCAGCACTTTGGAAGGCCAAGGTGGGCAGATCACCTGAGCTCAGGAGTTGGAAACCAACCTGGCCAACATGGAGAAACCTTGTCTCTACTAAAAATACAAAAATTAGCCAGGCATGGTGGCGCATGCCTGTAATCCCAGCTACTTGGGAGGCTTAGGCCGGAGAATCGCTTGAACCCAGGAGGTAGAGGTTTTGGTGAGCCAAGATCGCGCTATTGCACTCCAGCCTGGGCAACAAGAGTGAAAATGCAACTCAAAAAAAATAATAAAAAATAAAGATAATTGTTATAACTCTCTGTACATCAAGCAGTTTAGTAGCAAACTACATAAGGCAAATCTTTTTTAAAAATACAAGGAGATTTTCATAAAACTATAATTTTATTGGGAGGCTTTAATATGTGCTTCTAAAGTTTGATGTACCAAATGACTAATAATAATAACAAGGCTATGGAGGATTTTAATTAAACCCTCAACGAGCTTGATGTAATAGTTTTAAATAGAACTTAGTATCCTATAATAGAAAATACAACTATTCTTGTCCAAGGAACATTCACAAAAATCAATCATATGCTTGTTCACAAAGTAAATTTTAAAACAGTAAACTTCAAAAAGAAGAAATGATACAGTGTATGTTCTCTAGCCACAATGAAATTAGAATTAATATTAAAAGATTGCCAAATAAAAATTATCTTCTTGAGATAGAAGAAATATAAACTGGCATTACTTTCTTTTAACTTTTAGGTTTGGGGGTACATGTGAAGGTTTGTTACATAGGTAAACTTGTCTCGAAGGGATTTGTTGTACAGATTATTTCATCACCCAGGTATTAAGCCCAACACCCAATAGTTGTCTTTTCTGATCCTATTTTTTTAATTATAGAAGAATGGCAATGGGAACTTTATATATAAAAAGCTGTCTTGTGTAACCAAAACAATTCTCAGAGGGAAAAAATAATAAATGAACTTTTGAGACCAGGCACAGTGGCTCATGCCTGTAATCCCAGCACTTTGGCAGGCCAAGGCTGGTGGATCACCTGAGGTCAGGAGTTAGAGACCAGCCTGGCCAACATGGTGAAACTCTGTCTCTACTAGAAATACAAAAAAAAAAAAAAAAAATCAGCCAGCTTGGTGGTACATGCCTGTATCCCAGCTATTTGAGAGGCTGAGGCACGAGAATCATTTGAACCTGGGAGGCAGAGGTTGCAGTCAGCCAAGATCGTGCCACTGCACTCCAGCCTGGGCAACAGAGGGAGACTCCGTTAAAAAAAAAAAAAATATATATATATATACACTTTTGATATTTTTTAAAAAATTGTAAATAAATGAATTAATCATTCCACTTAGAAAAAAGAAGGGAGGCCGGGCGCGGTGGCTCAAGCCTGTAATCCCAGCACTTTGGGAGGCCGAGACGGGCGGATCACGAGGTCAGGAGATCGAGACCATCCTGGCTAACACAGTGAAACCCCGTCTCTACTAAAAAATACAAAACACCAGCCGGGCGAGGTGGCGGCGCCTGTAGTCCCAGCTACTCGGGAGGCTGAGACAGGAGAATGGCGAGAACCCGGGAGGCGGAGCTTGCAGTGAGCTGAGATCCGGCCACTGCACTCCAGCCTGGGCGGCAGAGCAAGACTCCGTCTCAAATAAAAAAAAAAAAAAAAAAAAAAAAAAAAAAAAAAAAAGAAAAAAGAAGGGAGACCGGACGCGGTGGCTCACGCCTGTAATCCCAGCACTTTGGGAGGCCGAGGCGGGCAGTCACCTGAGCTCAGGAGTTCACAACTAGCCTGGACAACATGGTGAAACCCCGTCTCTAGTAAAAATACGAAAAATTAGCCAGGCATGGTGGTGCATTCCTGTAATCCCAGCTACTCAGGAGGCTGAGGCAGGAGAATCGCTTGAACCCGGGAGGCAGAGGTTGCAGTGAGCCAAGATCGCGCCTCTGCAGTCCAGCCTGGATGACAGCGAGATTTTGTCTCAAAAAAGGAAAGAAAAAAAAAAAGAAGAGAAACTGAGGATGGAGGTGGATATAGAAGTGTACCAGTTAGTTATGGCTGCAAAAATGCTACATAATGAACACACACAATCTCACTGGCATACAGCAATAAGCATTTATTTCTTGCTCATGCAGATCAGCTAAGATCACTGTGCTTCAGATGGTGGAATACTCTGGAGTCCAGGTGGGAAGGGCAGTGGCTCACTGGAGCATGGTTTTCTCATGGCGACAGCAGCAGCATAAGAGCACAAGCCTGACCACAGAAACATGTCGGATCTCTGCCCAGGTCATATCTGCTAACATCCTCAGATCCTACCACTCTCCTTCTCACTCACTCCGCTGTAATAGATTTGGCCTCTTTGCTCTTCCCTCTGCCCAGAGTGCCCTCCCCTAGCATATTCATTCCCATGGCTCACTACCCTGACCTTGACCTTCTGTGCTCCAGTGATCCTCCCACCTCAGTCTCCGAAGTAGCTGATGCTACAGGTGTGCACCACCACTCCTGGATAATTTTTTTTTAATTTTATGTAGAGATAAGGTCTTGATATGTTGCCTATGCTGGTCACAAACTCTTGACCTCAAGTGATCCTCTCACCCTGGCCTCTCAGAGTGCTGGGATTGCAGGCAGGAGCCACCATGCTTGGTCTACTTGTTTCTTTTTATATTTTTATGTGACTCCTAGAAAAGATGTGTAATTCTACATGTGGCTTGTGTTGCCTTTCTATTGGACAGTGCTACTCCAGTGTGGTGGTTCTCACAGTGTGGTCCTGGACCAGCGGCATCAGCATCACTTAAGAACTTGTTGGAAATGCAAGTTTCTGCTAAATCAGAAACTCTGAAACGGAGATCTTCTGAATCATGCCTGCTGAATCAGAAACTCCTGGGGTGAGGCCCAGGAATCTGTGTTTTAACAAGCCCTTCCTGTGATTTTTTTTTTTTTTTTTCCTAACAACTGTGAGAGGTAAGTTGCCTGTTTAAAATGTGCAGTTTGGACCGGGCGCAGGGGCTCATGCCTGTAATCCCAGCACTTTGGGAGGCCGAGGCGGGTGGATCACGAGGTCAGGAGATAGAGACCATCCTGGCTAACACGGTGAAACCCTGTCTCTACTAAAAAATACAAAAAATTAGCCGGACATGGTGGCGGGCGCCTGTAGTCCCAGCTACTCGGGAGGCTGAGGCAGGAGAATGGCATGAACCCAGAGGCGGAGCTTGCAGTGAGCGGTGATCCAGCCACTGCACTCCAGCCTGGGCGACGGAGCGAGACTCCGTCTCAAAAAAAAAAAAAAAAATGCAGTTTAGTGGTTTTTAGTATTTCAGAGAGTTGTGCAATCATCACCACAAAAAGCAATCTCATTCCTGCTGTCAGTATTCCTCATCCCCCATACCACCATCCCCATCCCCAGGCAACACCTAATCTGCTTTCTGTCTCTACAGACTTGCCTATTCTAGACATTTCATAGAAACAGAATCATACATCATGCAGTCCTTTGTGGCACCTTTCACTAAGCATAATGTTTTCCTCTGTAAATTATTATATGCTAAAGTCTGAAAACTGCTGTCCTAGGGTAGAAATGGAAAGGAAGCAGAGAGAGTGTGAAAAACTAAGAGTATGGAAAAAGAGGAATGCCCCGATCATGAGATAGAGAAAATGAATGACACCAGAAGGACATTAACAGCAAAAGGTGAAAGGCAGTTTTTTCCATGTGGGAAAATAAGCTACCAGCCTTGTTCCCAAAGTCCAGGAAGACTGACACTGAGGCTAAATATAATTATATATTATATTTATGTTTTGCTCTGCCTATATTGTATATAGCTTTAATCTTTTTATTGCCTTAAATAATGATCAAATAGATGATAGTTAAAGCCATGAGAGTAGGTGAAACTGTCCAAGGAGGGAGATATTACAGAAAAGAAAAGGCTACTGCTGAGGAGAGAATATTGGAGGAATGTCTTCTATTCCTATGCTGCAGTTTTCAAAATGGTTCATGCCCACTTTCTCCCTTGAATCTAGCCATAACACTGTTAGGAAGTAAAGGGAGTATCACTATCTGGACTCCATAGTTAAGACGTGATTCCTCACACGGATATAATTTGCTCAGGGTGTCACGTTGAGTGATTGAGTCGAGGTTTCTTCTCCACTCAGTATTTCTCATCTGTATTTAAAGGGAAGAGGAAGAAATGGAGACAGAAGGGCCGGTCAGGAAGGTGGGAGTAGAACTAGGTGGGTATAGTTTCATGGAAGCAAAGGGAGGAGTGTTTCAAGGAAGGCCATCTTATTTGCTCCCTTGAATTAAAAAAAAAAATTATTTTAATGAACAGAGCGTGTTCTTTACTGAGTGACCAACCATACTCTGCAGTAAAGAGGTATCAACGTGAACAACCCGGGAGAACATGCTTTGTCTTGGTTCTAACCTACAAAGTGTTCCTCTTGGCACTGTTTTTCCATTTATCGTAGTTTCCTTAAAAAAAAAAGCAAAATAAAAAAAAAAAACTTTTGTTTTTAGTTGAAGTCTAGCAAACATAGAATGAGTACACAAATAATAATATAGCTTATTGGATTTTCGCAATCCAGGTCAAGAAATAGAACATTACCAGCAGTCCCTATTCTCTCTCTTCCAGTTACTATCTTTCTCTCTTCCCCAAATAGAGCTGTTTTCCTGACTTCTAATATAATGGATTATTCTGAGAAGAGGGCATGCCAGAGTGGATGGTCTATGTATGGCCAGAAAACCTATCCGTTGACTGTGTCCCATAGAAATGCCTGTAAGACATTCCATTTACCAAAACAGTAAAGAGTGCCAGTGATGGCACTGGTGTCACTGGAAACTCAGTGGTCGCTCTGTACTCTGTAGAGCTGATGGCAAAACATGCTGTTGCAGAACTGAGCTGCTTGACAGTAATGGGGATGAAAGGTCTTGTAATAATAGAGGGCAGAGACTTAGCCTTCAGAAACAAGGTGGGCGCAATTATCGTAATGAGCAGCGAGGTCAGGGTGGCAGTGGTGAGGAGACAAGGATCATCTGAAGAGAGCTATGGAGAAGATTAATAGAATATGGACTCCCTAGGGGAAAGTAGATGGGCAGCAAACAAAAGTATTGCTCAATCTGTGAACCTGTGAATTATGTCAAGTAAAACAAATGTATTACTCAATCTATACAATCAAAATAAATCAAAGATAGATAATGAAAAAATGAAAAGGCTAGTGCCATTGACCCAATATTTTAAAAAATCACAACCTCTTGCCCAGTTCCCAAGCGTGAGCCTGTTTTCAGACCCAGAATCTACTGACTGAGTGAGAGGCCAGGTTAACAGAAAGAATGACCCTGCAACACCATAGAAGTCATATCAGTCACGACTTCCCCCGGTCATTCCCCAGAGGAACTACAGTCATTTACTAGGGTAGCCATACATTGGTGAAAGAGGAATACCCAATATTTTGAAGACTGTTGGACACAAGGCTCAAGTTGTCATTGATACCTGGGAACCTGAAGCATCATCATGGCCCCTTGGGGCTTAGGGGAGTCAGATAATGAATGGAATCCTGGCCCAGGGCCAGTTCACATACCCAGCCAGTGTTCATTTCACTCATCTCCTGCTATATAATTGACAGAACACCTACATTGTTCTGTAGGGGTACACTCTATTGTTGGCTGTGGTGAGCTTTCCAGATCCCTGTTTCAGGACCAAGATACCCATTCCTGCAACTACTGGAAGTGCTGCCTGCTGATAGCTTATAACTGAGTCTTTCCCCAGGAATTTTCCTTGGTGGAAGGGATCTGCCTCATCCAAGTTTAGGTTCCCTTGTTCGCATCTAATGACTGGTTAGCATAGGGGTACACAGGCCAAGGATGGTCCCCTTGCCTCAAACTGCAGTCTCTCTAAAAGGCCATTGGAATTGGCTGAGACCTCTGTTGCAACTGCATTACAGTTAAATCTCTCCTTCTGTTCAATTGTCCTTCCTTCTTTCCTTCCTTTTCTTTCCTTTTTAGACAGAGTCTTGCTCTGTCACCCAGGCTGGAGTGCAGTGGCGTGATCTTGGCTCACTACAAGCTCCGCCTCCGGGGTTCATGCAATCCTGCCTCAGCCTCCCGAGTAACTGGGACTGCAGGTACCTGCCACCATGCCCGGCTAATTTTTTGTATTTTAGTAGAGATGGGGTTTCACCGTGTTCACCAGGATGGTCTCAATCTCCTGACCTTGTGATCCGCCTGCCTCGGCCTCCCAAAGTGCTGGGATTACAGGCGTGAGCTCAATTGTGCTTTCTTTATTTCCTTACAGGTGTTGTTCCTGAAAGCACTCCCCCATAAAACATCTGCATGCGAGTCTCCATCTTGAAGCCTGTTTCCTGGGAATCTGCCTATAGCATTGTCCTTTGCCTATTTCTCTGCAGTATTATCTTTGTTTTATTTTAATTTAATTAATTAATTTTTATTTTGAGATAGGGTCTCACTCTGTCACCCAGGCTGGGTGCAGTGGCATGATATCAGCTCACTGCAACCTGCACCTCCCAAGTTCAAGCTATTCTCGTGCCTTAGCCTTCCGAGTAGCTGAGACTACAGGTGTGTGCCACCACTCCAGGTAATTTTGTATTTTTAGTAGAGACAGGGTTTCGCCATGTTGGCCAGGTGGGTCTCGAACTCTTGGACTAAGTGATCCACCTGCCTCGGCCTCCCAAAGTGCTGGGATTACAGGCATGAGCTGCCATGTCCGGCCTGCCTTGTTTTAAATCTTTGTTGTACACAGATTACGTGAAGATCTGTTCCTGAACTTTCTGTTCTGTCCCTTTGATCTATTTGTCAATACCATTCTGCCTTAATTATTGTAATGTCATGGTAAGTCTTGATATCTGGCAGAGAAAGTTATCCAATTTGCTTGATCAGTTCCAATTTGCAGATCAGATGTGATCCAATTTGCTTTGATCAGACCAAAAGGACTATTTTGGTCCTTTGCATTTCCATATACATTTTAGAATCAGCTTGTTAATTTCCATAAAAATCTTTCTGTAAGTTTGATTGGAATTTCATTCAGTCTAAAGATAGATTTGTGGAAAATTTACTTCTTGTTAACTTCCAGCTTATAAAAATGATATGTCCTTCCATTCCTTTAGGTCTTTAATTTCTGTCATTACAGTTTTACAGTTCTGTAGTTTATAGAGGTCTTGCATATCTTGTTAGATTTATTCCTAGGTATTTGATGTTTAGATGCTGTTTTAAATGAATTTTTTTTTTGAGTCAGAGTCTTGCTGTGTTGCCAAGGCTGGAGTGCAGTGGTGCGATCTTGGCTCACTGCAACATCCACCTCCCGGGTTCAAGCGATTCTTCTGCCTCAGCCTCCGAGGTAGCTGGGATTACAGGCACGTGCCACCACGCCCAGCTAATTTTTGTATTTTTAGCAGAGATGGGGTTTCACCATGTTGGCCAGGCTGGTCTTGAACTCCTGACCTCAAGTGAGGAGGCGGTCTCACCTTGGCCTCCCAAAGTGCTGAGATTACAAGCACGAGCCACCATGCCTGGCCATGAAATTATTTTTTAATTTTTTTATTTTGAGAGGGAGTCTTGCTCTGTTGCCTAGGCTGGAATGCAATGGCGTGATCTTGGCTTACTGCAGTCACTGCCTCCCAGGTTCAAGCGATTCTCCTGCCTCAGCCTCCCAAGTAGCTGGGACTACAGGTGCGTGCCACCATGCTCGGTTCATTTTTGTATTTTTAGTAGAAATGGAGTTTTGCCATGTTCACCAGGCTGGTCTCGAACTCCTGACTTCAGGTGGTCCACCCACCTTGGCCTCTCAAAGTGCTGAGATTACAGGCATGAGCAACTGCCCCAGTCAAAAATCTATTGCATTTCAATAAAACAGTGATAAATGATTAGACAATAACATTTTAAAAATAATTTCTGGCCGGGCATGGTGGCTCACGCCTGTAATCCCAGCACTTTGGGAGGCCGAG